GCAGCGTCCTCCGCATACCGCCTAGCGAGGGGAATAATTAGCATGGCAACTGCGCGTCAGGCCGCCAACAAACCGACCTTAAGGTGAAGACACCGGTATTGGGCACCAACCAGTAGAGCTTGTCTCCCTGGTCATGTGTCGGTGAACCCAACGAAATTCCGTCCAGGGATGAACGGCGGCTTGCAGGTTGTGTGGGCATTTGCGGCCATTGTCGAGGAATAAAAGAGGGCAGCAAGTGTTAGCTACCGGTACAGCCAGCTATCTTAAATCCGTCGCCATATCAATGCCGGTGACAGGCAGATCGCCTGTGGCTAAAAATTGTCGCATGGCGGGAACTTGGCGTGAAGAAGGCCCCGTGGCCAAGTGCAATCGGCACAGAAACTGGGCCTTAATGACCCAATTCTAGATTGCTAATCAGTCCAGGATCTGAAGGACGAAGTCGACGCGATATTCACCACTGCGACTACTTCGCACTCCCCGGGAATGGGCAGCTCGCCGTCAATCCGAAGCAAGTGAGCAACACAGAAAACTGTAGCCCCAGCCTCAAGCGCCATGACTGGCTCTGTGGCCGGACGGTCAAGCCAATTGAAGTGCGGCTGAGAGTTACAGGCGTGCGTCATCTGTAAAACTACCTGAGAACAGTCTATGAAGTGAGAAATTGAACGACCCACCATGCTCGTATGAGGGGTAACATGTACATAGAGCGCCGGATGCTCCCCAGCCCGATTGAAATTAACCCAAGGACTGAGGGGTTTAGGATACTTGGGATGCTTCAAGCGATATAGTGCGAGTTTATGCGACGCACCTCTGGGGCGAAAACTGTTCTGAGCTCGCAGCAGCAACCTTATGCATGGCCCCAAGTCGTCGTCGAGCGTGAAGTTCGGTTTATGGAGAACAAGATACTGGAATGCTAAGTGAGGAGGGTGGGCATGTACTTGGCATGTAGAGCGCATACTGTTTCTTCCCTGGTCGCGACCACCGTTTTGATTTGTCCCAAGAAAGAGACCCGAGCATGTTCGCCAGTCTTCATGTCCGCCAAGCTGCGAACTTTACCAAGCGGGAGCTCTTGAGGCTGGGCGAGGATGCGAGGAGGCAATACCACATTTTCCATTAAAGGTGCGCTGAAGAATCTTGACATAAACTCCGCCATCCTGAGCGACCGCTGAAGTAAGTCGATTATATGGCGGCTGGCTGAGTTTTGGCAAGCGACGTTTTGGGTCTGATCAAGCTCAGCTCAGTGGTGGTCACAGACTCACAGTAACGCCGAAAGCGTCGGGGCGACCGTTGGCCGTTTGGTCTTCAAAGCGTCGACCCGCATCCCGCATGAGAGAGTTGTCCATATGACTGGTATTTCTACGCGGTGAAACGTAGATAGTACATTCTATATATCTTTCGAGCTAGAAAGATGAGATGCCGCTCATAGACAGAATGTTCCCGAGTCCCTGGTTGGTACATGCCTCCCAGGCCATGCAACTCCACCCAGTCATGATTTAGCAGCCTCCGAACCTCGTCTCTCAGCCAGTCGTAGGCCTTCTTCTTGCCATTTTTGTCGATCTTATCTCTTAATGTCCGCTCGAAGTTCTGCTCCGCCCACAGCAAACGTCCATCCACAAGACAAGTGAGGTTATAGGTGAATTCCTCATTGTTGTCTGGCTCATCGGCCGCTTGGATTTTTGACAGGTCGAAAGGCGGCCGGGCAAGCCAGTGTTCCACGCCGTCCACATCGAAGTCGTCTTTCTGAGCCTCCTTGAAGATCCAGCACTCTTGCCGCAGGTCTGCACAGCCCCAGTCCTCTACCAGGTCCGGTATACGCAATCGAGAAAGCTTTGACTTGGCCGTTTTGCGACGACTGCGACTACGCCTTGATTCCTCACGAACACGGTGTCCTCTTATATCTGCTCAGCCGCAACATGGGAAGCTAGACAATCACGCACCTTTCGCTTTTCTCGTACTTGGTCCTGCTGAGCTTTCGAGAATCAGAGGTAGGAGTTTGCATGAGGTTGTGCAGATGAGGTTACAAAGAAGAGTGTGTGACCGAAGCTGGAATTTCGCCCAAATACTGCTTTCCCCATATTCATATCTTACTATCCTAAAAGCTGAACAGTCGTCTTGGGGCACATCAGTAGACCGTATTACCAAAGTTTTCAGACCTATAGTATCAATAAATGGCACAATTTTTGCTTATCTTTTTGGTACGACTTTAAGATCAAGGTCGATTAGTCAAGACCGCTGGGCTCAAATTTCCAGGGCAAACCGCGACATAGTCCCGTTTGACTCACAAATAGCAGCAATATAACGCAATGTGATTCGATTTAGATGCTAATTAATACGGCGGTCGTAGCGAAGGAAAACAGCGACCAAAAGGAAAACTAGCTACGGGCTCAAAGTAGCTACGGGGTCATCGCAAACATTGCCACACCATTTTCCCAACGCCGTCGAGCGGCCTCGGCCTGAGCCTGGGCGACTTTGCTGCTATGAATTTGCGCCTCGTACTCTTTGTTGGTTCGACAGCCGTTGTCTACCCATCGGAACAGCCCCCCTGCCGTATACTGCACGAAAGAGTTGCGCGTCTCGCAACTTCGAATAGGCGTGTTAGAGTGGTGAATTGCGGCGGATGGGATAAGGACTGTGGCCCCCGGAGGAAATCGGAGAACCAAACGTAGGTTCCATAGGATTAAGTGTCCGCCTAGGTCGGGGTCGAAGTCGCCCAAGGCTGTAATTGCGCACCAGCCCCATGCCAAATTGCCGAAGTCTAGGTGCGGCCGGCTGATTGCGCGGCCGAAGTTGAAGCTGCAGGCGGCAAAGACGCCGCGAGGGAAGGGCCAGCCCAGCCGTAAGGAGGGCTTCCAGGAAAAAAGGGCTGATTGAGTGGATTGGTAGTAGGCAAGCAGTAGAGGGGCCCATAAGAGCATTAGAGCTAGAAAAGAAGATAAGTTTGAGACTTTGAAGGAGGAATGACGACTTACTTCGCGTAAACCCAACGACACGATGAAAATATGGATGTTCCATCAGTTCGTTTGTGGCCTCAGTGTTGGCGACGTTCTGATGTAGGATGCCAGGCTCCTACGAGAATTAAAGAGAAGAATAGCGGGTATGTGCCGCTCACCGTCTGTCCGCCGCCGTGGGAGACGCCTCGCTACGGGACGCGAAGGCAGTCTGTGCACGCCTATGCTGCTGATCTGCCAACGAAACCTTGAGCTGGCGTTGTTGTCGATTCATAGCGTCATTGGCCCCGGCAGTTAACGAACACCACTCGGGGGTCGCGAGGGGCCCCACCTAGAACAGCTACAACCCGCCTTTCGGAGTCTTGGATGGGGATGGTGTGCCTAAAATAAGAGCGATAAGCGGGAGTCTGGTCTGCAGCGTGGCGTTGACTCACTGGCCGTCCCAGTTTATGTACCGAAAGCCTGGGCTTCCGACCAACCTGTCGGTCTCTTCTTGAGAGTATTGGCGTCCAGCCAGCCCATATCCCTCCGGCAAGGGGGAAGGGCTTTCCACGGACTCATCCAGAGCATCCTGTAGCTGACAGCTCCTATCGCCAATCCATCCAGGTCGCGAGTGAGCGAGGTTGGTCGCGTTGAAGGCGGTCTGGACGACGTGCTTGGTGGCGCAGGCTCGGCGGTCGCCGGCAACTTTTTTTAGCACGGTATCGCCGCGTTTGGTCGCTCGACGGCGATTGGACTTTCGCGTGTTGTTGAGCTTGGCGTTTAGGTTTGTCGGCGGAGAACGGGTGGGGAGAGGAACCGCGGCGGCTGCAATAGTAGGCGGGCTTGTTTTTTTTGAAGCGATTGTGGCCAGGCGGAGGGCGTACGCGTCTGGATCAACGAGAGCTTGGTCGGGTTCGTGGGCATCAGGCTCGAGGGCGCTGGCTGGGGGCGTTTCCCGGAGCACAAATGATGCCCTTGGACGAACAGCCGCAGAGAGCGCCAGCTCGTATTGGGAAAATTGGCGCCCTGAGCGCGTAGTTCGGCAATGAAGGGGGGCTAAAGATGGAGTCAGTAGGAGTGCGACCAAAGTGCGACACGAAGGAAGTGAGGCGCCGCCTGCAAACCGTACCCGCTATCTGGCGCCGAGGTCCAAGGGCGGTCTCTCTTTGCTGACCAGCGGTCATGGCTTGCAGGCGGCATGGGAAGGGTAAGGAATGGGGGAGACGGCATACGCTGGAAGTCCATCCTTCGCTTGAGGGTGAGGGGGGGGTTAGAAAGTGTCGTGCGACGAGTGAAGCCGCTGGGATACGCTTGGCCATGGGAAGATGAATCAGGGACCAACGTCAATTTGTCATGACGGTTGCTTGGCGACGCCGCGTCTCATATTTAAGCGTTTGAACCTTGACGATGTGGTCAGTTTGTCATGTCCTTGCCACCCAATCCTGAACTTGCCAAAGGCGAATCCTACACAAATGTAGACTTCATACACGCAGCACAAAACGGGTACCCCATGACCATCAGCTACGACTATGCGTGCCGAAACAAATGTCGCGGTCGAGTTATCATGTGGGTCATCGTCCGTGGTCGCCGTCAGCCAGCTTACCTCTTGTAGCCCGAGATCATCTAGACCCTCTCCCGCGCCTGTCGGAGCCCAGTCCCAGCAGATCGTTTGTGAAGTGGCGGCTATTGAAGTGGATGCTGAAGGCGTTGTGGAGTAAAGTAGGCACCATGTGAATATACGGTCCGATACTTCCGAATGTGACGATCGTCCATGATCGGAATGCATGCTTGTTCTCCTGACCACTTGGAGACTTGACTCTGCCACCCAACGTAGTGGCTTTGCGCCGCAAATTGCGCGTTAGTGGCTTTGTGCGAATGCTGAACTCCACGGCAGCGCCTTCATGGTCTGTGTTCGGTGAGTCCACCCAGCCCTAATTCCGCTCACAACGTTCTCTATGGCTCGTCAGACCAAAAAATCCACCTTTGAAGTCAGCTTCGCCATCCACAATCAGAGCGCCGACCATACGTACCAGTACAGTGCCGACGGCCGCCGGGTCTACTCTGCTGTCAACAATGTGGCTCCCCGCAAGCACCGCTCGCTTGGAGCCGGACGACGAACCCGAAGAGTATGCGGATTGGGTTGATGTTCCAGACAGTGACACCACCCAGTTCGCTGCGGTGGCCAGCACGCTGACGTCGGACGAGGGATACTTTCACCAGATTCAGGAGGGAGAGGCAAGGGGCGACAAACGCGCCAGATACATCAGCTCAGTGCGTTTCCTTCCTTCACCGTTTCGTGTTGACTGAATACTTGCCCTGACTTATTAGGATAATCCGATGCAACTGTGGCGCGAAGTAATGCCCGATTTCCTGGACGCGATGATATGTCAAGATGGCCTGGGGATGTCTCCCTCGTGGCGGCACTTGCGGTCTGTCAGCTGCTTCGGGACGCCTGTTCCGTTGCCAGGATTGCGACCACTCTGTGCAATGCGAGGAGTGTTTACGCGGGGCTCACCAGCGGACGCCGTTACACTGCATACAGGTCTGTCTGCCTTTCTACCACTACCGCCGAGCTGACTCATCTAGGAGTGGACGGGGGAGTTTTGGGTTTCCGCAGCGCTGCATCGTCTTCACATTAACGATACATCCCCGCAAAAGCTTGCGCGAGACATACCAATTGGGCCACCACGGTGGCGCATGTCCTCTGCCCGCAACCGTTGATACACGCACGATGGTGGTTTTGGACGTCGGTGGAATATTCACGCTCGACGTTCGCTTCTGTGGCTGCTCAAACAGTTTGCAAAACAATCACATCGCCCAACTTATGGGGAACCACTGGTATCCGGCGACAACGCTGGAGCCTGGGACCTGCGCAACGTGGCGTGTGCTCGAGCTCTTTCGCCAGCTCAACGTTGTCGGCAACATCAACGCCCACGACTTCGTGCGCTCGCTGGAAAAGCTGAACGACCCAACAATGATGAATCAGACGCCGGTCAGTACGATTTTCTCTTACAGCTAGGGCAACTCTAATGCTTCATTAGGATCGATACGTGGCATTCGGTAGAATGGCGCGTCAGTATCAATTTTTGAAAAGGGCCAAGCGGAGTGGTCTGGCCCACGTCGAGGAGGGCTTCAAGAATGTCGAAGCGGGCAAGCTGGCAGTGCCCTGTTGGGCGTGCCCCAAACCGGGCTTTAATCTGCCTGACGGCTGGGACAAGTGCAGCGAAGATGACAGGTCCGTTGGCTTAAACTGCGCGTTTGTCGCGAGAATGCTAATAAGCACTAGATTCTTATACTCGTTGCTACTGGCTCTGGACGCCAACTTTCGCCTGAAGAATCGGCTTCGGACGAACGAGAAACAGGACGCTTCTCTCGGGCCAGGCTGGGGCTATTTTGTGGAGGGGAATGCTTATAAGGAGCATTTGCGAGACTACGTCGCAGAGGAAGATGTAAGTCTCGCTGGGTGAGGCCGAACGGTATATGCTGACCTTCTTTTTTCAGGTCAGCACTTGTATCGCCTTTGCGGCTCTTATGCAGAAGGAGACAAGGCTGACAACGGGCCTACGAATCTCTGGGGTGGGCGGCTGCGTTTGTGCTCGCCACGGGGTGGTGCGAGCGCAAGGGATGGGTGATTTGCAAAAGGGAGAGCGGTAAGAGTTTGACATCTTTTCGCCGGCGGGGCTGACATTAAGGCAGCTACGCCAATATGGATTATATATTCCTTCACGCGCTGGGAGACACAAGGGTGAAGCGTCTGGTCCTATCCTACGACATCGCTTGTCAATGGAAGCAAAGACTGCGCGAGCGGGCTCTGACGATCCTGAGCAACGCTCAGGTTGTTTGCCCAACCACCGGCCTCACTGTGGATAAAGTCCCCAACCTCACTGACTACGAAATCAAATTCGCGCTGCCGGTTTGGCATGCGGCCGCGCACGAAACGGGTTGTCAGGCCACCCACTCTTTGAGCTATGCGTGGGGCGTGGGGCGGACGGACGGGGAAGGAATAGAGCGTACTTGGGCGCTATTAAACCCAATCGGATTCTCGACGAAGGAGATGGGCGAGGGCAACCGACTGGACACAATTGAGGACCGTATCGATCATCTTAATTTCGAAAAGAATGTCCGCCAGGGTAAGTTTATCTGTCGTTCTATGATGATTTAAACTGAAATCTATCTATCTAAGGCGATGTTCTTGCGCGAAAGCTTATCATCGCTGTGGCCGAACGAGATACGCAGATAAAGCAGTTTAAACGAGTGGACGACAGCCTCGAACCGGGAGTTCGTAAGGATTGGCAGAAAATGGTGGAGAATTGGCTTGTCGACAATACTCAGCCCAACCCATACCTGATCGGGGCCAATGGCGACGGTTCGAAGGTCTCCTTGTGTCGCTGCTTACTTAACTCACGGTGTATCAGGTCCGTCGGAGGCCAAAGTTGCGGCTCAGCTGAAGGCTGCTGAAGTCGCAGAGGCAAGGGAGCAACGAGGGGAGTTTGTTGACGGCAAGATTACCGCCGCGGCCTTCGTCAAAGGCTTGCTACATCTGGAGGACCTGAAGTACGTTTTTTTTTCCTCGGGGCAGTGCTTAGGATTGACTGAGGCGGATTGTTAGGCGAAGGATCAAGAATGAGATACGCGTTGGCGGCGTCTCTGCCGAACGAGCAAGCCAGATCGAGGAATTGAGAGTCTCCTTCTTCAAAAAAGCTGCACGCAATCCAGCAGCAGCAAGAAATTTACATGTCTGGCGTCGGTGGCCTTCGAAGGTTAGACGAGGAACGACGAGATACGGACCAGCCGCCCCAGAAGGCAGAGGATGTCAAACTCTGGCTTCCATCGGAGTTGGGGGATCGGCAAAAATGGGCCTGCAGGAAGGGGTTGTTCGAACTAGAGGCCAAATTACGACAGGCGCAGTGTGGCGACGCCTTGACAAAAGTTCGAAGCCTGCTGTATGCCAAGACGCACTTGATCTTCCATCGAAACGCTGCCTCAGTGGGCCAAAACTCGACAACTCGGTCTGCAACGTTAATCGGCCGTATGGTGGAGAAGATAACTAGGGAGGCGACCAAATATCGGCAAGCATGGGTAGCCCTTCGACGACTGAAGGGCGATGACTTCGCTCCCGAGTATCGGAAACTGGAGGATAGCGATCTGAATGTGCGTGCGGAGACGGAAAGCGACGCGATATCAAGGGCCCGACTAGGTCGGCTGGGGTCGGCCCGGCCTGCCCGAAATGAGCCGACGGCCGCGCAGGCCGGGCCTGTCTCTTGGATTTGGTTCATGGAGGGGGAGGGGGATGAAGAAGTCCGGATTCATGACGGTAGGTGGCATTTACTGTTGGCGCGCAGAATGCTGATCTGTCTATAGCGGTTCGTGTGCAATGGGCCAAGGCACGGGCGCGCCGTGACCGATGGACCGAAGAAGTGTTGTTGATTAGGGAGGAAATGCGGAGGGTTTTGAGAAGCCTGTGGTCAATCCAGCAGCAGTGGCTGGAACGCGAGACGTCTCGTCCCAATGCCCGGCCGGCGTTGCAAGAGGGCCTTGTGGCCTATGCTAAGAAGCAGCGACATATTCATAGTTTGATTGCGAATAGGTTTGTGTTGGACTGGAGGCACTGGAAGCAATCAGTGGCGAGGGCAGTGGTCGGAAAGGAGGGGGATATTTATCAGCGGCTATTGGTAGGAGATCCGGATCAAATTTAATTATAGCTGTCAGATCTGTCAATGCCAATATTATGATGCGTCTATTGGGAACCTGCGTCTGTGATTGGCTTTGAGGAAAAGGCAAAAAGAGCAAGAACAAAATGGGCCAGCTACCTGAATAGGAACAATTCTATCAAATAGGAACAATTCTATCAGTGCCATCAGGGCCATCAATACCATCAGTGCCATCACCAAGTGCCCTAATGGCCAGCTACCTGAATAGGAACAATTCTATCAGTGCCATCAGTGCCATCAATACCATCAGTGCCATCAGTGCCATCACCAAGTGCCCCAATGGCCAGCTACCTGAATAGGAACAATTCTATCAGTGCCATCAATACCATCAATACCATCACTAAGTGCCCCAATGGCCAGAACAATCCCATCAGTGCCATCAACAGGCTGGGCGCTCCCCATCATTACCATCAATAGTGCCAGCCATGAACAGAGCCTCTGAATCATTACCATCAGTACCATCAATAAGCCCCGAGCCTCCCAATCATTACCATCAGTACCATCAATAAGCCCCAAGCCTCCCAATCAATAACCCGGACATGAGCTGGCTTCCGATCAAATGTAGCGGGCTGCCAAGCAAACTACAAAAATAGCTATGATCGCTGGGATCGGCCAGCGCATCGTAAGGTTGACGATGGGATCAGTAAGATCAAGCGCATCAGCCCAGTAGATATGCCGCAGGAGGCCGGGGATGGTTGCTGAGAGGAAAGGTGCTGGGGAAGCTAGGTGTGGATGGCCCCAGGTGCAGCTACCCTCCCCGGCAACCGATTTCCCAGCTGTACCTAGTACCGCAGGCTAATTCTTACAGCTACGGGTGGCCAAGTCCGAGTCGGCTGGGCATAAATCCACGAAAACGGGAGGAGGGGTCTCCTCTCGCTTGACTGGTTGACTGCTGGTCGGGTTCATATCCCCCCCAACCAAGAGACCACGGAGAAGATCATCGTTGCTTTTCGTGACGTTTGTTGCAGGACTAGTAGTAACTGCGTCGTCCGAACCCAGAAGATCCTAAGTTGTTAAGTAACATCAGGCAAACGTGCTTCAGAACGTACGTCGACAACAGTGGCTTTCGTTGAGCCAACTGGTTTCTGTTCACTGACTGTGCAGAGTGAGACAGTGTCCACAAGAGTAATAAAATACGCACCGACAGCGATAACAGTAGCTTTTAGTTCCGGAGGCGGTATTTTCTCCAAGACACCCTTCTTGACTTGACCAAGATTAAACTAAACAGGCTAACGAACTCGATGGCTTGCTGTTGCAGTTCTAACTCAGGACTCGTTGCATATTGTAATAGAAGCTCCGAAATACGCTCATGCTGAGTTACACCGACTGCTGGCAGCGATGAAATCTTCGTGACTGCAGTCAGCACAAACTGTCGCATAAGGAGGTTGGCATATGGTGAATTGAGAATCGACACCAGCAAGTCAATTAATTGCTTGTCCGAGACCTGCTCAAGGTAAGAGGGTATTTGAAATAAAACTGTTAAAAAAACACACAGGTTTGCGTGGGTCCTCGTCCACAATTCCTCCCTCCAACAGCAGTTCACTATATTCACCGATGACCCAGGTTGCAGCGAGGGTTAGAGACTCTTGAGAAATATCGGCCATCAAAGCAACATAGAGCTTTGATGCAGTATATGCTTGCAGTTCTGATGTATGCGCTACCATACGAATGAAGGCGGACAATATCTCTTCCCGCACGAAGTTTCCAGCCTAGTCGACGGCGATGAGTATGCACTGGGAATCAGGGGACCCTCACCAGTTGCAGGAATCGAAGGACAGTGTCGATGTGCCACCGTTTGTTTGGCGCGAATCGTTCTGCAGCGAGAGATATTTGTGTGGTCATTCCAAGCTTGAATTCGTCGTCAGCTACTTCAAGGAAGGCGAGCAATTCTTGAACAAGCACGCGGACATTGCCTTCATTAATGAGAGCATAAGATAGCTCCAGAGCTCGCCGCCTGATCGATATGTCGCCATCTCGCAAAGCAGTCCAGAATAATGTTGCAATGCCTTTGTACGGCGTTGGTGTCCAATGAAACCACCTTATTCAGCGTGTTCAGCGCAACATAACTTGGTCCAAGCATTAACCAACAGATGGGAGTGAAGTAAAAATGCTCACCGAATGTTGTTATCCCGATCGCTCAAAAACTTTCCCAAAATGTTGATAGCAACGACGCGCAGTCCAGTGTCGGCTTCGATATCCAGAACAGTAAGAACGGTCTCGTAAAGAATCGAGTTGCCAACATTCTTCGTGGAGTCAGTGTTGGTCGCAACCTGTGCGAGGATATCGTTCATAGCTTCGCTCGCTGTTTCATCACCCCGACCAAGAAAACGGAGGAATCGCAAAATTTTGACTTGTAAGAAGGGGTCTGTGATGCCTGAAACGTCGTGCTCTGGACTATAGCCTGTCGTTACAAGAGACTTGAGGTTGCGAACGAGAAGAGGTACGGCCTGAAGAAACTTCATTTTGTGCTGTTTGGGAAAAGGTAAAACCCACGTTTCGGAACTCGTCCCGTATCGCAGGCTCTGAATGGCACATTTCAGTGACAAGTGTTATTGAAGACAGCAGGACGCCGTGATTTCGGTCGGTCAATAAGTTCTTTGCTTTGGAAATAAAGTGGTTGGTGAGTTCCGGGACTTTCTTGATCACACGAAGCGCGCACAGTGCCGCCTAAAGCTGATTCAGCAAAAGGAGAACTGACGAGGCTTTTGATGAACGCACCTTCTTGCGAATGTAAGTGCTGCTTGAGCCCAAAAGTTTCTCGATTTCATTTGCCAGGTCTCTTGACATCTCCTTCGATGCTATGTTTGCGAATGTGCATAGGGCCAGCCCAACAACGTACGCGTTGGAGTGATTCATGTCGCTGAGAATTCACGATTACCCAGCGCAAACAGAGGAGAGCTCAAGCACGCACTTTTTCAACGAGTTGGTGACCAATGTCAGAGTCTCCTGGCTCTCATCCAAAAGCAACATGATCCCCAAATATCCTAACCGTTTGTCGGCAAAACGTGGACTGGCGACCAGCCTTAAGCACTCTAGTATCTGCCCAAAGTGAGCAGGTGACCCAAGCATATGGATGTAGAGGAGTTTCGCGATATCATTGTTGTGTCGCGCAAAACGAGTCCTCTTCCTTGAATGACGTCCGTATTGCTGCAGATTCCTGCTGGATGAGAGTGTGCTCATCGGCCACGGTCTGTCGCGATAGTTAGAAGCATAGCAATTTCTCGCCACATTCACTACTTTGCAGGCGCGGATGCCTTTGATGAGGGCTGGAGTCAGGACTATCAGACGACTTGAACGGAGACAGAAATCCACAACCAACCTTTCAGATTATTATAGACCATAGCGCAATAAAAGGAGTGCCGTCAGTCCCCGTAAGTTCCTTAAGTTGAAGGAAAGGCAATTAGGTTGGTTGCGACTGGCCGATGTCGGCGCCAGTGAATGTCGTTGAAGGCCAAGTCACACGTGACAGAAGAATTGGCAGCAAAAATCTACGATTACAGTTCTAGCTAGTACAGAAATACGGTGAGCTACGATATCGTTCAAATAAAGACTTGAAGGGCACTGCGATTGTAAGCGTTGGGTCCTTCACTCAGTTCACCAAGGTCTGGATAGAAAGGAACTAAGGCGTCAGCTGCTCCGAGATAGAGCGCGTTATAGATGCGCCAATAAACCTCCCTGACTTTTCTGGCAGGATGGAAGAGACCCTGAAGAACATAGCTGAGGAGAACGCCTGGCCCAAGTGTGACGCGCATTGCCTCAATAGCGTCCATGACTGCACCGATAACATGGGGTGACGTTTCGAAGCAATTCGGCCAAACCAAGTTCATCAGATGCATCATCGAAGTCTTCGCAACCTAATCCAGCAACACCAAGAGCAAGGTGTTTGACAATGGTGCTTGCTGTTTGTCGGTGAACCAGATCACGGTCGGTGAGTGCGTCCTCAAGCATTGTGACGACTGAATCACGGTAATAGGCTGACTGTGGTCCAACATATTCGAAGACGAAAGAAAGGGCTGTTAGACAGCCTGTCCGAACATTGAGCTCGGCTGTTCGATATTCGTTCAAAAAGGCATCGATGCAGGTGAAAGCTATCGTGCATTCAGTCATCGAATCAACCCGAAGAGAGACGAAAAGACTCACGACCACACGTTTCTGCGACGATCGCAATTGCAACTGTGCTGCATACACGGCTCTGGCGCTCTTGGACGCGAAGATTGGTCAGCAAAACGGACAAGACATCTTGAGGCCCCAAACTTCTGGCGATATAGCCAAATGTGTTGACGGGCTGCTCGACGAATGCCCTTTTTGTGGGCCTTGAGGAGATCCAGCAACTCGAAGCAAATGCGCATCCATTCACGAGCTGGCACAAACTCAGCCCCGCGATCCGCTGTTAAAATCATGAGCGGGGACGATATGGTCGAGAGTGAATGCTTACCGATACGACCAATCAAGTTGATCGAAGCTTCTTGCACCTTTTCGTGCCTGTTGCGAAGAATTGGTATCATTCGGGGAACTGACAAACAAGTTAGTGATCTATAAAAAGAAAGCGGAATAAGACTCACGAAGATCTTTGACAGGTGGGTTCATTTGGGTCATACCGACAACATTGGCAATCGCTCCCTCGGCTGCGATGATGGAACCAAGAGTGTCAGGATACTCCTCACCCAACTGTTCGAAAAGCACAAGCCCGAGTTTGCTCAGCAGCTGGTCCTCGCCACACTGCTTGATGACGATGGCAAGACGAGTTGTGAGATCAGCAGCCTGTTGACGAACTTTGGCACTCTTGTTGTTTAAGCGCCAGAGGATGGTGGAAACGATTTGGGTGAGGTATGGTTTAACGCGAATGCCGAGAGCATTGACGACGGTACCGAAGCCATCCAGCATGACTTGGTCTTCCGTCGTCTGCTCTTGGAACGAATAGATGATACCATCAACGAGGCGCACCTCCAAACGCTTGTCGATGTCAGAGGCGCCGAGCTTCTCCACGACATTGGTGATTGTTTCCATTACCATCTTGCGGTAAGGCTCCGCTTCATCCTTCAACTCGTTCACAATCTTACCCACAATTTCTGCGACACCAGCTTTCTCGGCAAGTTCGACTGTTGTTTCAACGACTTGACGATAGTTCCTCCGATCAAGGGCCATCCAACGAACCCAGAACGATTTGAAGAAATCAGGGAGGATGTCGCGCTTGATGTAGCCAAGAGTAACACCCTCGGTAGCCGTGCATTGTTTAACGACCTTGAAGACGATTTCTTCGTCTGAGGTTTGGAACTCACGAATGAGGATCACCGTGACTTCTTTGGTATAGTAGGACGCGTATTCCGGGTCCATGAGAGGGATGATAAAGCCGATGGCCTTGAGGAATGCGGCTAAACCCTTTCCACGATGCCAAGCGAATACCTGTCCAGAGGGGCTTCAGCACGTTATCGAAAGACTCAATTCCGTAAGGGGCGGCAGCTTCAGCGAGGGCAGCAAGTCCCAATGCAGTCATGGTTCGGTTGTTCATCGGACAACCCCTTGGCAATACAATCGACGAGATTGCAGAGATGAGGGAGAACAGCACAACCCATCATGATGGCAATCTGCTGGACAATACGAATGCCGGTGTGTCGAGCTTGCTGTGACTTTTTTGAGTTGCAGACGGCCTTGAGGAAAGGAAGAAGGGACGGAATACCCAGTGCCGAAGCTACAACTGAGAAAGCGCGAGCGGTGGTATTGTGTATGTACTTGTCAGCATGATCGATATCTGGACGCATGGTAGATATCATATGGGCGAGACCAGCAGCTTTGGACAGGTTGAAAATGATTTCACGTCCTTCAACACGGGCGTAGTAATCTTCGTCAATGAGCAATGGTTCAATGACGACAAGAATCTTGTGCACGTATGGGCGAACAAGATCATCCAGCTTGTACAGGACTCGATCGATAACCTTCACAAGCAAATGTCGTTCTTGGTCCTCCAGTGTGCGTTCCATTAGTAAAGGGAGAATTTTATCGAACAACGGACCGGCACCAAACTTGCGAGCCTTGTCAGTGATTTGACGAAGGGCAGTCTTTCGGACGGGGGGAGTGCCGTTCTTGATTTTGAGAAGAAGACGCATGATCTTGCGCTCCTTCATTTTGTCGACCGAAAGCTCTGTTTCGTCTTCTTCCTTGGAAATTTTGGCGAAATATTGAGTGTCCTCCGCTTTGAAGAACGTGAGGGCACCAACACCAGGGATTTCAGTCGGAAGTTCTGGGGCAAGACCGGCAGCAGCAGCAATGGCGGCGGCGTCCGAGCCTTCCTTGATTTGGAATCCTCCTGGGTGACCGATGGGAGTTGCCATCGATCGACGAGGAGCAATGGTGGGCGCGTAACCAGCTGGAGGAGTCACAATGACATAGCCAGTGGCAGGGAGGATAATGTTGAGCTCTTCGTCGGTGAGATATCTGTTGTGTTTGTCGTCCTGCATGACGCCAGGTGCGTTCATGATGATTCGTTCCATAGGTTGCTCAATACCACCACTCGCTACTAGAGGAGTTTGGTCCCATCTCGAACATTTGATTGGTTCAGCGTTGGGGGTATCAGCTGGAGTAGCCATTTCGCCAGCCTCTTCTTCACCAGGTTTCGGATCTCATCGACGTTTACGTTTACCAGTTTCTTGATTTGCTATGGGAAGTTCTTTAGCAGCAGCAAGCTTGAGAGCAACGTCGTCAAGTTCGGCGGCAGGAGGCAGTCCATCTTCATCTTTTCATCCTCCTTCTCTCGTCGTTCTTTCTCTTGGATGGCGCGATGTACCCTGGCCTCCTCTTGCTCAAAACGAGTCAGCCGCGTGGCATCCTTGTAGCCGCCTTCCAGCTCTCTTCCATCTTCTGCCTCAAATGCATCGGCACTGGTTGTGCGATTGAAGCGACGGTTGCGGTAGTCCGACTGTCGAGCTGCAATTTGCCCCTTCAAGGCGGTTTCTCCAGTAGTAAAGGGAGAATTTTATCGAACCCAGCGAGGGGAAGAAGGAATGCGTTGTATGGGTGAATGCCCGAGTTAATGTCGTTTTCAAGGAAGGGACCTGGCGGTGGCAAATCTACCAGGTCTATGTCGTCGTCTTTAGAGCTCTCAACAGGCTCTGTTTTGACCACTCGAATGGCGCTGTCAATTGGCATGGACAGGCGAGTTTCCTGACATCGGCGACAGGGTTGGCTGGATATGTTCTGGGTGTTCTGGGATGCCCAAGCAAGTTACCCATAGGCCTGAATGTGAACATCGAGCTTATTGAAGTCTTCTGGGTGAAGGAGACAGTAGGGAGGGGAAAATTGAGTCGATACGGCTGTTGGTGAGACGAGTCGTTTGTCACCAAATGGACATTTGTTGAAGGCTGAGATTGCTGTTATCGCATTCGGCTTTGGTGGCAAGTGTGAGCGCTCAGGGTCTTAGGATACTGAAGTCGCCCACTCACATTGTTGGGCTATCGTTCGTCTAGCCAGCGGCCACTCCCAACTCCACGTCAGCTATTTGCCCCACCACCGCAGCCCGCGACCGTCTGACGAGCCAAATACACGCAAGTTGCCGATAATCGTCTTGGCGGACAAGAAGCCAGGTGAGGGGTTGGGTCGCGCGGGTCGCGCTGGCTGTCGCCGTTGAGTGAAAAGCACGTGCCAAATAATTTGACGGCGTACAAGTACCGCCGCCCCCATTTCGCATTGGAAGACGATTTGATTGAAAATACACATTAGGAGTTGGTAGCAGAGGGGGGAGAGCGAATAGCAAAATAACAAAAAAGCACTTGATAGCGATTCGATAGCAAATTTGACTCTGAGGCGACACTGTAGGTAAAGTATGCGTGAAGGAGAACGAAATATTGGTTGGATTCTAGGCTGAGTTAGAGGTCGTGAGCTCCAAGTCAATTGGTTGAAGGTTCGCTCTTGCCACAAGACCATCGAACTCGCCTGGGGGCATCCTGTTGGGGAATTAAATACGGCCCCGAAGAAATTAATGCTGGGCACACCGAAGAATCGTCTCCGTACTTGCAGTCATATCGAAAACATGTTGGGCCATGAAAATGCCATCTCTATGACGGAACACTCGCGCAAAGGCATCGAGAACCAAAATAAAGTCGTTAGAATCCTCGAGAGCAAAGGGGATATCATAGACTGCTTTCTTGGCGAGCCGAGCATCTCTAGCATGAAGAACTTTGCGAAAAGTGCGTCGAATCTACAAAATCTTAGTATAAGTCTAAGGAAGAAATGAACTTATCGTCACCATTGCCCCAGCGAATGCATAAGTCGGCAACGATATGCCAGCTGGTCCTTTTCTCAACCCCGCTCTCTCAATGATAGCAAACGTTGCCTCAGTTAACGCTGGATGCATAAGGCGGCTATCTCCATTCAATTTTTCATCCTAAGTGTATTAAGGTCAAGAGGATCGGATGAAATGTTGCCGCGTACATTTTTACGATAGTGCAAGTGTTCATAGTTGGCAAGAAGTCGTGCAGCCTCCGTCTCCTGGAACGACAGAAGGTCGTTATGAGAATACGCCAGGTCAGTTGCTGGGTTGATAGGAACCGGACTAGTTTTTCGATCGTATTTGTCGCGTTCGCGGCGGGTATACTCCATTTTGGTGTCGGGATTGATCGCGCCATGCGGGATGCTGAGATACTGGTTGTGCGCTACGTTCTCCACATCCTCTGCTGCTTGTTCACGGATTCTGCCTCCTGCTCGCCGAAGCTATTGATCGTGAGACGGGAGTGATGCAGAAAAACATTTAGCAACTTACAGCGATTTCGATATCCCCAATGTGGCCAAAACTTTCTGGACTGGACGTTAGAACGATGCAGAATTTCGAGTATGCCACATTACGCCATTCAAAGTCGTTCGACAATCCCTTTTCCCTCCTTTGCGCCATAACCTCTGACAGCATCTCTACGACGCGTCGAGGGATTGCAACGGTGGGATTTGTGGTGATGGCTTCAAGGGCGGTGATGCTGTACATGTCAACAAACGCAGATCGGCAGAACTTGGGTATTTCCTTGCTCAACTCTGTGATCAAAAGAATACCTCCATTTTCCTTCGTTGTTCGGAGTTCCTTGCGTTCCTTTGCTGAGAGATTCTGTCCCAGTGTAAGGGGAGCATGTGATGTGACAGCTGTGACTGATCACGTGACTGGTCCGTGCGCAGATAGCCCTGTACTTAAGTAGTTGGCCGTGGGGCTGTTCCCCCGGCTTTGGTATCAACTAGGCACCTGGACCCTCATCCCCTGACACCCAGCGCTGTAAGAGTTTCATCAGCAAGGTAATCTGAAATGATGGCGGCCGAGGTTGAATGAGGGTGGACGCGTAATTGTGAGTGGTGCGGTCTCTTGTGCGACTTTGGTCGACCATCCGACGAAGTCCCAGATGATGCGCTTGAATAGGAGGAGCGCAAGTGCGCAGTAAGATATCCAGGACGCGCGTCGGGGCTCAGCTCAATTGCCGATTCATCTCCGCCAACATGAGACGCCAGAATGGACTGTCGAGCGCTTAAAAAGGCAAAGTTTGTCAGAGGATAGTCGCATACCGCAAGCAAACGCTGAGAATTGTTCGGAGATCTGGTTTTGAAGACCATTTGAACAACTGAGAGTTGATAGAGTTAGTCTAGAACCGAAGAAGGGAGGGCGCAGGATGGCAAACCTTCTTCGACACGACTAGTTTTGGACCCGTTTGCCGATTCAGGGCACGTTTGTATTTGCGTCGAGGAACTCATAGCAGTGGCTGAAGGCACAAAACCGGAGTTTTGTGAATGTTGCGTCATAGGAGGCGGGCTTGCAGCAGGCTGGGATTGCGGGAAATGATTCCCCAGCGCTTTCACACTTTCTTGCTTCTGTTGAAGCAGACCCCATTGCATCATCAATTGTTGCTTTTCCTTCGCAAGCTCGGCTTCTTTTATTTGCTGCTGGCGCGCAATCAATTGAAGGGATTGATGCTGGGCGCTGAGGCGGGCTTGCGCGTAGACGAAAGAGTTGGGGTGGGCCTGAGGCTGAGGCTGAACGGGCCACGCTGTTGCGTTCGGGTTGGGGTGGACGTGAGGCTGAGGCTGAACGGGCCATGTTGTTGCATTCGGGTTGGGGTGGGCCTGAGGCTGAGACTGAGTGGGCCACGTTGTTGCATTCGACCACGAGTAACCTGGGTCGATGAGATCGTAGTGGTCTTGTTGAACATCTGGAGCCCAGCCCAAGACGCCGCCGTTATGGGAATTCAAACCGGCTGGAATTCCAGTGCAGCAGGAAGCCTGAGGGTTGGCGTTACCCCAGGTCGCATCTGTGACGAAGTAGCTGGTTGTCTAACATGTCGTAGAGACTGTCGCCGCCGCCGCCCATCGGTGGGGAAGTTCCTAGTGCTGAGTGCAACGTCGGTGGGTAGTGAGAATGGCAGCCGCGGGGAGGAATCGAAGGATAGGAGCTGCTAGACGATGTGAATGAAGCTGAAATTGGTGCTACAAAGATGTTAAGTCGCGTTGAACCAAACGCAGACTGTATGCGACGCACAGGTTGAGCAAGCAGCGGCCCCGGATGGGCAGGCCATGATGGCAGGAAGAAGAAGGGTCCGTCCGCCGTGACGCCGCATTTGCGCGCGACCCTGGACAGACCAAAGCTGCTCGCTGGCCTGTTGGCGTCAAAGTCGTCGGCAAACGAGAGTTTTGATGGTATCGCGATAGCTCCGTGTGACAATCGGAATGAATCCCGTCGTTACGCTTAATTTACAGGCCGGTCTATTCTTATTCTGAGTCTTGGCGGGCAATGCCTATATCTTCTCAACGTCATTCCAGCTAGTTATCGACACGTTCTTCGGCGACTTTATTGGCAGCTCTTTCAACGCGGAAGGTATTGGCGATAAAGTGACGCGTTAACCTCGATACAAATCATAAAACTAAGATATTTCTGGGATGACCCAGTACCCTCGTACTACTGCGCGAGAATACTTACACAATGCGTGTTCCACCATAATTAGGTCTAGTCCAATGGCCGCCTGAGTATCTTCTGGCAGCTTTGCGCGAAGATACGCGTAGACCATTTTGAGTCCGCGGGTGCACTCTTCTGCAGACCGTTTACCAGACTTGCGCTTAGCCAAGAGGTGTAAGAGCTCTAACCCGCGGACTGCGCCTTTGTTCATTGAAGCAATTGCCGCCCCAAGTTCTTCCACGCTCGGGGGGGAAACCAGGCGGGGGGCTGGTATACGAATAGTCGGCGGCAAGCAGATAGCCCGCAAGCGGCCCGATGCCAGGGAAAGCCTTGGTGCTCTTCTTTTTCCTCACAATCGTCCTTTGCTGAGTCCACTTCCAGAATCGCGTGAAGCCAATAGATGGCTGGCCTTCTTGTTCAGGAGCGAGCAAGGAGGAAAAATGGTGCGTTGTCATACGAGCGTTGTACAATGGCGCAAGGTCGAGTGTACGATGGCGGTTAGCGGGACCATATGCTGCTGAGTTGCAGAAAATGCGTTTGGGCGGCTGCTGACCAGTAGCCGCCACATACGTCGTTCGCAGCTCCTCTTGTGCGCGTTGAAAATCGTCTTGATCAGCATACAAAAGGCGGCCGTGTCGCGAAAACTCCGAGTTGAAAATGACGCCACAAAAG